GGCAGAGAGGGAGGAGAGAGGGAGGGAGGGAGGGAGGGAGAGAGAGAGAGGAGAGAGAGAGAGAGGAGAGAGAGAGAGAGGGAGGGAGAGAGAGAGAGAGAGAGAGGGAGAGAGAGGAGAGAGGAGAGAGGGAGGAGGAGGGAGGGAGGGAGGGAGAGAGAGAGAGAGAGGAGAGAGAGAGAGGGAGAGGGAGGGAGGGAGGGAGGGAGAGGGAGGGAGGAGGGGGGAGGGAGGGAGAGAGGGGGAGGGAGGGAGAGGAGTGAGGGAGGGAGGGAGGAGAGAGAGAGAGAGAGGGAGAGAGGGGAGAGAGAGAGGGAGAGAGAGGGAGAGAGAGAGAGAGAGAGAGAGAGAAGAGAGAGAGAGAAGAGAAGAGAGAGAGAGAGAGAGAGAGATCCCACCCGTTGACAACAATGGCTACAAAACCCTGTATCGTCGGTCAAGTCTGGGTACACTGCCACCATTGCTAGTCTTGCGCTCTGGCCTGTTAAATAAAAAATCTCATTTATTTCCGATGAATATTCACAATCTTTTTGATATGACCTATAGGATTTAATATTCATTGGGTGGTTATTTAAACAGTTCTACTTTCCCAAACATAGATGATCTTTAAATTGTCATAGGAGCAAAGGACATTGGATTTTCTTACTGGTAATTGACGTTAGAGACAGAAGGCGGCAGTGGGGTTTTACTCTTACGGTTTAATATAATGGTTATTTAAAAAGAGAGATTTGTCATTAATTGTAAAATTGGCCGTTGAAGTCTAGTGTCTATGTTAGTATTCTTTTGTTTAGCACCTGTATTAATTTGCTATTGCTGACGCCTCACCTAAGCTTGAAGGTTTGGTTCCATAATTATTTGTAATTTTTTATTTTTTTATACAAACTAGTCTATTATGGATATTAAACCTTTCAATTTCATGTTGGACAGTGGACATATATTATATTGCTTTGGTAGTTGGCATCAAAATGGCAATTTTAGTCATAATTTTTAATGTGAGTAATTGTTTTATTTGCACTGAATAATATGTGATGTTCCTGTTCATCATGCAGGGATACATTTTCTCAACCTCCATGCACTTTAATCCAACCATCAATGCAGGCATTAGCAAAGGATTATCAGCATATTCCTAACTTTGGTACAGCTATTCTGTTTCTTTTCCCTTTTGACAATTATTAGCTAAATGATCTGAGTTATGTATTTTGAACTTTAGAATAGCTTTTAATGCTTACTCAGTTACACTTATGTGCTAACTTACCTTTTTTTTTTTTTTTTTTTTTGAGAAATTCTTACTTAAGTTTTTAAGTCAAAGCCTATGGCTGATAAGCAATTCTGGAATATTATGCCTGGAAAAGAAAAAACAAACTTTGTATACCAAATGCTCAGTATTTACAATAATAAAGCTCTCTCAAAAAAGAAACTTTTTGGAAAGTCCCTCACCCCTTAGTTTTGCTTCGGCCTGCACCTCTTCTGTAATGGACCAGATTTCTCTACCCGAAATTAAGCACAAATAACAGTAATTTAAGGCTGAAAGCTTGAATGTTTGATTGCTAATGTTGAACGATTATAAGGGTAGTAGCTTGAGGCTACAAATCTCCTAGCAACTTGAGGTTGCAACTCTCTAAATTTTCCTCACTTAATTTCTGCCTGCCTGAACTACATACTTGCTGCTACATTTATTGTACTCAAGGATCTAAGGGAAATTAGCCTACATGAGAAATATTAGCCGAAAAGGCAAAACCAAAATATGACAAAGCTAATACTTGTTGCTAGTTTTCCTAAACTTCTTCTTAATGACTTTTGTCTCTTGCTCTTTGTTGCTTGTTGACCCCTTCTAGTCTTCCTCCCTTGCTGCTGCTGTTTCCTTGTTCTTGATTGCCGCATCTTGACCCCTGACTTCCTGGTGATCCATCACATCTTCCTAGTACTCTCATTAAATTATACTTAACACTGGATATGTTATGGATGGTTGATGAACCTCTTGTCAAGAGTTGGCTGCTAGCAAGCTCTGGTGGCCCTTCCTGATGGGTTATGCAGTAGTGAAGGTTTGGAGGGTGGCCATAGGGGGAGTTTTCTAGATTCTTTAACCTTGATTTGAATGAGAAAAACTTTCTACCAGTAATTCTATTTTGTATTTTTAATATTTTTTAAAGTGAGTGTTACAATAAAGTTTCAGTAGTTGCAGACTTGCAGCCTTTGAACTGTAGATCTAAATTTAACTAGTCAATGGAAGTGTTTTGGCACTTTCTTGACTTGGTTTGTCGAAAGAATCTGTATTTTGGTAGAAATTAAATCTCATTAGTCACAAAGTCTTTTTTTTTCTCTTCTTTTTGGACAGCAAAGGACTTCTCTCCCCCAATATATCCGCTGGGAGATAAATATTGGCAAGCAAATGAGGCTGCCCCATTTATAAGTATCCATTCTCTGCAGGTGACGCCCTCGCCAGCTCCTCCACTGTTTGCTTCACAGACAGTAATATCTTGCCTGCCTCTTCTGGTATGTTTCCATTTATTACATATTTACATCTCTAGGCTTTTTGGAGTTGGTTATTTTTCTGGTTTCTAAACTCTAACTTTGCACCTTGTTCAGATCCATCTTCAGGAGGAGTCTTGTTTGAGAATATGTTCCTTTTTAGCTGACGGAATTGTAGTCAATTCTGGCTCCATCTTGCCAGATTATTCCATCAATTCTCTTATGTTCACTCTAAAAGAACTAGATCTTACAGTTCCATTGGACTTTGCAAAGGCAGGTAATAATGCCTGCAGTGGTGATACTGCTTTCCAGGATTTGTTTGCTGAAGCTAAGCTTCACATTGAAAATCTGTTTTTTTCTGAATCACCTGCACTAAGTATGAGCGTGCTTGATTTGGAGAAGGATCCTGCTTGTTTCTGCCTCTGGAGTGATCAACCTATTGATGCTAGCCAGAAAAAGTTGTCTGCTGGAGCTTCTTACGCAAGTTTGTCTCTTGAAACATCTGAAGATGCAGATGGTCAGCAAAATTCTTCTAGTTCATCTTTGGGATCGTGGAGGTGTGTTGAGGTGAAAGAGGCTTGTGTTGAGGTAGCTATGGCGACTCTAGATGGCAGCGTGTTGGTTCAAGTTCCTCCTCCCGGGGGCATTGTGAGATTTGGTATTGCCTGTAAGCAATATTGCTCTAATGCTTCTGTTGAGCAGTTGTTTTTCATCCTGGATCTTTATGCATATTTTGGAAAAGTAAGTGAAAGGATAGCATTAGTAGGAAAGAGTAATAAATCGACAATTCAGAGAACTGAATCATGGAATGATGAGCTGATTTCTAAGGCTCCCAGTGATACTGCTGTGAGCTTTGCCATAAAGGACCTTCAATTGAAGTTTCTGGAGGATTCATGCAAGACTACACAGGGGAAGACTTTGGTTCAATTTATCGGGGAAGGTCTGTTCGTTAAAGTAGGTCATAGAACCCTTGGCGGAGTCATTGCTATATCATCAATTATACGCTGGGAAACTGTGGAAGTGGATTGTTTAGACGTGGAGGGTAATTCTGTGCTTGGCAACAGCACAATGTCAACTCCCTGTGCAAATGGCTCTCTGATTACTGCAAATGGATGTCCGCAGCTCAAAGCTGTGTTATGGGTAGAGCGTAAAGGTCAGAGTCAGTTAAGTGGAAGAGCAAAGCATGCTCCTTTCCTCGATGTAAGTATTGTGCATGTTATTCCTTCCCAAGCTCAGGATGCTGGTTGTCATAGCTTGAATGTGTCCGCTTGTATTAATGGTGTTCGTTTGGGTGGAGGAATGAACTATGCTGAAGCCTTATTGCATCGATTTGGAATTCTTGGTCCTGATGGGGGCCCTAGTGAAGGGCTTTTGAAAGGGTTGGAGAACTTGTCTGGTGGTCCACTGTCAAAAATTTTCAAGGCACCGTCTCATACTGTGGATCATGTGAAAGAAAGTATGATATTTGTCTTGCTTCTATTTGTAGTGTGTGCATCACAATTCACAAAGCATGAGTGATTTCTTGTCATATGTTATGTACTGGCTCTTCTATATGCTTAATATCAATGCTGTCCTGCTTGAATCCTTGGCATTAACTAAAATAAACATGAAAATATTAATTAAATATCTTCATTTTGCAGATGGAACATGTGACAGTAGCCATGATAGTTTATTCTCTCACCTGGGAAAGCCAAATGAAGTGGATGTGCTGGTTGATCTGAGAAATTGGCTGTTTGCTCTTGAAGGCGCACAAGAGATGGTAGACAGATCATGGTTTGATAACCATGTAAATACTAATAGGGAAGATAAGTGTTGGCATACTACTTTTAAGAGCTTGAAGATTAAGGCAAAGAATACTCCAAAGGACCTATTGAATTGCAGTGTAAAGTCCAATGGTGATCATAGATATCCTGTGGAACTGATAATGGTGAGGATTCTTAATTTTCCCCAAACTCAAAAATTAGCCTTTGGTGCTCTATATCTACGCAAATACTAATTTCTAACTAACTGAAAATAAATTTGTGACCAGTTGGTGTAAATGGTACTCTAGCTCAGTTTTCTTCTGATCCATATTTTTTTTTTGCTGGATTTGAGCGACTACTTCTCTCATATCGGTTAGCAATTTTTCCGAAAAATGTTGAGCGAGTTTAAGAATAGGGGATTCATTTAGACTTATTGAAAGAGCACTAATTGGAAGTTGTGCTTTCACGAGGAGGACGGCGTAAAACTACAGCAATGTAATTATTTGGCTTAAATATATTGTAAAATTTTACTTAATGAAGAATTATGTCAAGATCATCAAAGTCAAGAACAGTATCACGATACTTGGTTAGTCCAACAGGTCACTTAACCCTTAGATCAGATGATGCCATTGTCATGACACTCTGACTGATATATCCTAAATGCTTGGGATACACCCTCTAGGGTTAAATCTTTGTAGGGATTGATGGAGAAGAGAGAAGAGGGAGAGAGAAGTTTTTAATTAGTATTACCAACTTTACTTATCTTCAATGTTTTCTTTTGCACAATTGCGCATAAAGTGGTTTGTGTATATAGCCATGAAAGGTGCTACAATAGTGCCATAATATTATTCAATTTTAGGGTCTAAATGATAAGTAGATCAAGATTCGAAACTTAATGAAATTTGATGGGGAGTGTGCAATTTTTTTGGTCATGTTAGTCACCTGTCATTGCTCTCTGGTGTGTTCTCAGATGACATCCAATTCCATTTGTTAGTCTTTACTGGTGAAGATTTTAGGTTTTTGTCTGCATGAAGGACGTGCTCATTCCATTTTGATTTTCTTGTAGTTCTGGGCGAGGATGTGGGGGTTCTCTGAGAAAGTCATATGAAGCTTCCTAATCCCCCCTAACCTACTACTCCTTACCTTTTAGTGCTTTATCTTTCTCTGCAACTTATATGCTTTGTATATATGTACACTTGGTTTGAAGAAACAGTTGTACTCCTATCAAGATTAATGGAACTGGATTATCTATAGTTAATTTCTCTCTTTATAAGCTGTTTGTCTAATAGGGCGTTAAATTTATGTATTTTCGATGAAGTTCTAGGGGAATTTAGGTAATTATATCTAAGGTTTTTTTTTTTTTTCCCTCCCTTCTTTTATATATAAACACTAAGACGAGTCATTCCAGTCAAGAGGATAGCTCAAGACACCTTTTTAGGCCATATTAAAAATTTGAAAAGTGTTAAATCCTTTAATCCTTACTCATGTGACTGCGCCCAATGTTCTTTTGAAAGTATAATTGTCTGAGCAGCATAGACTAGTATACCCTGCTGGTCATTCTCAACTTATGTAAGATAACTAATGTATAATGTGTGCAGATTGGTGTTGAAGGTTTGCAGATGGTGAAACCTCAAGTCCAAACAAGCATCCATACAGTGGAGTTTCCTGTCATTGCTATTAAAGAAGCAGATATGAAGACATTTGGAGGGGTAAATGTTGAGGTTCATATGGTTGTCTCGGAAGATGGTTTTGATGATGTAACAGACAACTGGATGGTTGAAAACCTTAAATTTTCTGTTGAGCAACCGGTATGAGTTTAACTTTTTCAATTTCTGTGTGTGGACATTTGTTCGACTTTTTGAGTCCGTCTGTAGCCATTTTCAATTCTTCATTGCTTGTGGGGTGCATTTTTCTGTAGATTGAGGCTGTTGTTACCAAGAATGAGCTGGAGCATCTTGCCTTTCTTTGCAAATCTGAAGTTGACTCTTTTGGAAGAGTGGCTGCCAGTGTTTTGCGACTTCTGAAACTGGAGGGTTCAATTGGTCAAGCAGCTATCAATCAGTTGAGCAACCTCGGTAAATTCTTAATACTACAATCCTACATATTAACACAATTTTCTGTCCTAAACTAATGCAACTTTAGGGTAACTTGGCAAGTTGAGTTCTAGTGTCAATGTCTTATTTACTGGTTGCTATTCCCTCTGATTCAAAATAAGCTCCTTCTAGCATGTTCTACATGTTAAGAAGTTGGCTATATTTTGTTAAAACTACGCTTGTTGTGTAAAGTGGCATTTAATATTGCATTGATTAAATACAATAAATGCAAATGTCTTGGAAATATTGTCAACTAGTAAACCCAACACAGTAAAAATTACAAACCATGGGCAAAAGGTTCGCCTACTAGTGATCTATAAAAAAAATTTACATTCTTTTTTTTTCAAGTTAAGTAGTTGCATATTTATACTCAGAAGTTAAACAAGGTGAAGAGCTAACTAGTTTGACCAAAAAAAAAAAAGGTAAACTAGCTTAACAATAATCTATAAAACATTAGTCTTAATCCTAATAGATAGGGCCGGCTACAAGAACCTAGTTTTATTCTCTGACAAAAACTCTCTCTCCATTCCCTCCTGTCAAATACTATATGTTCATGTAAACCCAAATTCTATCATTCATAACTCCTTCCATACTAGTGAAACTGGTTCTCCCTTTCCCTATCCTCATATCTGCAATTCTTACCCGCTTCATTTCTCATTCTAATCTTTATGGTGTTCCCACACATCAATCTCAATGTATGCATCTCTGCTTTATCCATCTTTCTAATATGATCCTTCATTCTTTCCTAAATGCCCTAACATTCTGACCCATGTAATCGCGCTGGTCTTATAGCTGTCCTATATAATCCAGCGTTAACTTTAGAGGTATGCTACGGCCACACAGTCACACTCACACATACTTCTATCAGTGCCACCCAGACTTAATCTTGTGCTCTATAAATCACGTCTAGGTCAATGTCTCCATTTGTAGTATCGATCCAAGGTACTTAAAACACTTATTCTTGGGAAACTCTTTGCTATCCTGCTACTACATCCTTGTTTGACTCCCTTCAAGTAAGTGATAGCTAATGTTGTACTGATACTGTAGAATGACTTATATCTTGTGTCAGAAGTATGGTTGTGCTCTACCATTCCAATGGTGGCTACACTAGATAAACATATCAGTCATTTTTTCCAAGTCTTTCGGGAAAAGTCATGTTTGAGAAAGAGAGGGGAGGGGGGGGGGGGAGGTAGTTCACAGCTATGTAAATTTTAATCCATACCGTCGTTGGATCTCACCAACAGCAAGGTTGAGGGGCCTCAGCAAGACCAACCCTGAAGGACTTCAGAGAAAGTCTAGAGAGATGGACATAAAATTGAGGGATGGAAAATAGGAGAGATTTATTGGTTGGGAAAGGAGGAAAGAAATGGCAGTGATGAAGAATAAAGACAAGAGAACTTGTTCCGTTGAACTGTTATTTTCCGTTTGAAATGCCACTTTTACTTGCTGAATAATGCAAAGATGCTTTAAATGCTTTAAATGCCACTTTTACTTGCTGAATAATGCAAAGATGTCTCTATTTATTCTCATTACACTGAAGCAGAACTTAAGACACCTCAAGGACTTTTTGCATCTGTAGGTCTTGTAGGGTTCCTAGGGTGTATGCTAAGCTATGAACAATAATGATAAAAATTATAAGGTTCTGGCATGTTCAGGAAAAGTGACAGAATGGTATTAATGGCTCTTATCTTGGCACCTGTTGCATAAAAACTGCTGCTGATGGTAACCTAGTGAGAGGTTGAAGGTGAAAGTAGGATTGGGAGAGTAGAAATTTGGTAAGCAGTAAAAGCTAATTACCCTTAGTCTGTGTGAGAGGACTGTTGGATTTCCGATCATCAATTGATTGCCTTAGGCTGACCTGTGAAAATAACAACGGAAGATGTTTATCCTCTTATTTATACCTACCTCTGGGTTACCATTAAGTCAGAAATGCACAAAATGGAATTGATTATAGCTTTTATATTATCATTTGAAGGTTAGTGGGAGGAAGGAGTGAAAATGAAAGTTGTACTGGAACAGAAATGGCTACTTTGGCTAGAAGCTGATTTTCATAATGTCAGTAATGCTTAGAGCCTTAGAGCTTAAGAATTGCCGGTGGTAGTAGGAGTTTGAATGTGTAATTGGTGGTGATGGTGGTATGAATAACTCGGTTGTGCATAATTAGACCCGGGCCTGAATGGACAGGATTGGACTGGACCAATAAATTCACGTCTGGTTTCCAGTCTTAGGAAAAGCACATTTTCGGGTTTATTTATTTATTTGTAGACCATATGAGAGCGTAGAAAAATAAGGAGGGGGTTGTTATGATGGGGATTACTTATTTATTTGCTTATATTTAGTTGGAGGGGGGCCGGGGAATAGGGAGACTTCCTCTTTATATAGGAGCCCAAATTCTGTGTCCTAATACTAATAATTTTTTCCAATCTCAATATTGATGCATGTCATTTTGTTCAATCCAACATTTGCTTACTATTCTCTGGATTTGGTATCTCTTCCGACTTCTACCTCTTGTTTGCACTACAGCTGGTGAAATCATGAAATGCCTTTTGAAACATCGTTAATTCTGGTGATTCATAACCTCAAAGCATAATTTTTTTGTGTAGTCGGATGTTGAGAAGATCTTTTTCATTGTGCGAGTACCTGGAATTCATGCTTTCATGGTGTTTGGTAGTTGGATATATAGTTCACGATGAAAGTCTACTCCCTGGATTTCATTTTATTTGCATTCTGTAACAATTGGCTTGGTGACTCCTAACTGTTGTTGGATTTTTTTTTTTCTTTTTCTCTTTTTTTTTGGGGGGTGAGTGGGTGGATGTTTGAGGGGGTAGGGGACCATCTGGTAAATATGTAAGACTTTTACTCTTCGCGGAGAAATAAAGTGTACGCCCAATCGCACATCTCTGATGCTTTAAAAGGTTGGCAGTGGTGGTAATTGTTAGCACTAAATATATTTTGTATTCATTTTCATATGGTAATTGGTTAGCGCTGACATCATATTATTTTCTTTTGTTGACTTGACATGCTTAAACTCATGGAGCATTTTTATCTCATCTTCTCTTTCATTTACTTTGGAACTCTGTGGCATGCAGGAAGTGAAGGCATAGATAAATTTTTTAGCTCAAAACTGCTGACTCGGGGTGAGAATGATGTCTTTGAGCATAGCCCTTCTTCAAATGGACATGTAAATAGCTCACATCCATCTGTGAAAACCATCGTAACCTTGCTTGAGAAGGAAGTTGAGGAAACAGAATCGAAATGTGCTGCTCTGATTTCTGATATCGGTGAATCAGAGACTTCCTCACAACACCTTGATCGTGTCAAGGAACTTGGTCAGCAAATTGAAAGTGTTCGTCTGTTATTGAAGCAGTTGAAGAATCAAGGTTAGCCTATTTTGCATTTAATTTTATTTTTTTTGTCATTCTTTTTTGTACAAGTTACTAAGCACAGGGAGGAAAATCCGACCCTGTTTGGTATAATATTAGTGATTCTTTTTTGTACATAGTCATATATATATATAGATAACTATATACTACATACGAGTGTAGACAAAAGGCAAATAAGGAGCATTCATTTGACACAATAATTTTGTAACTTAAATGTAAAATTTTGTATCTGCAAGCGCGATAATGCACTGAAAAATATTTCTATTAATTCTGTATTAATTTTCTAGAGTTCTAATTTTGTATAATTTTCATTCAATTTTTAAAGTTTTATGTTAGGTTGTCACACATCTAATATATATATATATATATATATATATATATATATATAAATTGATTTTTTCCCGAGATTTTATAGGGTCATTTAGGATTTCCATAATTCCATGTCACTAAATATACTTTTTTTTTTTTTAAAAAAAAAAAAAATTATTACATTGGAAAATATGAAAATCACTTTCAATTAAAATTAAAAAAATGTTCAATTTTGGATTAAATTGAAAAAAATAATACTACCTAGTAACATATAAAAAGTGATTATAATAAAATATATATTAAAAAAATAATAAAAAACTATTAAACTTTAAAAAAAAGAAAATCACTTTTAAGTTTATCATAACTTCAGCAATTTTTCAATCATATATATATATAAAAGCATTATCCATATATTGTCATTTGCCAAGTCACCGAATGTATTTTTTTTTTTTTTTTTTTAAAAAAGTCACCAAAAATATTACTATGTATTAATAATCAACAATTACTAAAAATAAATAAATAAAGTTCAAGCTAAAATTAAATACTGGGTAAAGATTAAGAAAACATGTCAATAATATTTATTATCATTTATTCAAAAGATAAGATTAACTATTGGTTTAAGATGTATGTACAGCTTCTAAATAAACCAACCTAACAATGGTAATATTGGTATTTTCTATGATATCAAAAACGATCTACAATAGATAAGAGCTAAATTTGAATAAATTTAATATACACTCCACATTAAGTTGTTAATGTATAGGAAACTAGTTAGATTGTTGACCTACGTTGGTTAGGAGTCTTATTATTATAAATAAGATACTGAATTTTATTTAATTTGATAAGTCAGTGATTTCATATAAATTTATCTTCCTCCGATCCAAATTAAATAGCATCACAAGCTACATGGAAGATCTAAGTGATGATTTGAAGATCGAAATCTTGATTTGATTGCCGGTGCGAGCAGCTCATCAATGCAAAGCCGTCTCGAAGCATTGGCTTTCTTTGATTTCTAAGGCTCACTTCAAGGAACGTTATTGTAGGCATCGTGGTGACGGTAAAAACAACTATATACTAATTGTTGGCGCTCTTATACGTGATGGTGTTAAAACAGATTTAGAATCATATGAAGAGCGATATATAACAAATTTTATGCCTAACGAAGATGCTAACAACAAGCTCCTTGGAATTAGTTTGGGTTTCGAAAATCTGCAATGTTCGTTACATGTGTCCAAAGACTTACTGTTGATGAACATTGACGAAACTGGTTTTGAACCAAAACTGATGATATATAACGCCTTAACAGAAGATCCTCTGATTCGTATCCGTTCCAACATGATATAGAAAAAGCATGGCTTTGTTTGGATAACTAAGTGGGAGGGAAAAGAAGGGGAGGGTGATGAAGGGGAGGGAAGAGAAAGGAAGGGGAAGGGAAAAGACGCAAAATACAAGTGGATCTTTTTGATCAGCTTGTTTTGTAAATCAACAGGGTAAAATTGTCTTTTCCATCACTAAATTTGGGGCAATTTGGTAATAACATTTATTCTGGCTCAGCATATTTGCCACACACGCACGTCTACGTGTACTGCTGCACTGTCGGCCGTAACGTCAAATTGTATTTTGCCGTTATTCAATTTTGCCTCAGCTACCCCAACACTCATAAATGCAACTACCCCCTTACTGTAAACAATCAATTTTGCCTCATGTATTGATATTACTTTGTTTTAATATCAATAATAAATGCTAGTTGATTTTTTTTAGAGAGAGAGCATGGTACCTGACTTTGTTTAAACCAATTGTATAATAATTATTCAATTTTTTTTATTTTTTTATTTTTTTTATATTGATGTATTGATATTACTGTGTTTTAATATCAATAATAAATGCAACTTTCTCTCTCTTCACTTCTACCATTAACGACCCATCTTCAAAAATCAAGCTCAATGGAGGGAGCTTGATTGGAGGACATGGTCACCCCTTCCCTTAGGGGTTGACCATGCCATTAATTTCACCCTTTATTCATAGGGTTTTCGTTTAAGATTGGGGAAGGTGGGTTGAGATCGGGGAGGCTTCAATGGTGGTGTCGGGAAAGCTTCAATGGTGGTGTCGGAAAAGCTTCAATGGTGGTAGAGATCGGGAAAGCTTCAACGGTGACGGACGGCTACAACACTAACGGACTCGAGACAGACTATGACGTCCGTTAAATCAATTGCACTCCTACTCAGCTGCTGACTAATTGCCATCATTCATTGCTCCCCTTATGTGGACGGTTACTGTTCACTTTATTTACAAAAGAGCCATTTTGATTGACAAGTTAAATTGATCAACAAGATCAATGGGGGCTGCCTCGGGAAAAGATCGAATGAGTTTTCCTTCCAAATCTCTCTATTGTTGGAGAGATCAATTTCTCACAAATTAATCCCTCTATTTCTCTCCCCTTCAATTCCCTTCATTCCTCATTTGTTATCCAAATGAAGGATACTCCATCCCTTCATTTCTCTTCCCTCCCTTTCCCTCCATTTCTTTAATCCAAACATAGGGTCAGTCTTTTTAGTGGGTGCTTGTGTAGCAAGCTGGAGGATGAATACAAAGTGGTGGTTGCTTCTCAACCTCAGATCCCGTTGTAGGGATATTATCTGTATCGACCACCTTTAGATGTATCAGTCTTCTCTTCAAGTAGCGGCAAGTGGACACACGGAAAATTCTACAATAGTCATCCTTAAAACGACCACTGTAGAATCATCCGTGGACACACTATACAGTAAATGCCCCTTTCGATCATGTTGGGAGGAGTCCTACTTGGAGTGTTAGAAGTCACTTCGCCGTGGATTGCAATGGAAAGTTCCATTGGGTCAACAAGATCATTATTGCACATGATCCCTTCAAAACTCCTGGTCGATTTGACTACATCGACTTTTCTGATAAATTAAACTTGTTAAAGAAATACATACTGGATAAGCAATGTTCGGGGCTACATCCGGAAATTAAACTTGTTGACGAAAAAGAATACATACTGGATAAGCAATATTCGGGGATACATCCGGCTTTACGAGGCCAAACCAACTTCTAATTCAACAATTTCATACTAGGATATAAACGACTACACCAACGGTATTTGGAGCTGGAACGTCAACCAACACATTGATCTTACTGCTATTAACTGGCCAACTACTACACAAGACCTAAAACGACGACTTGTGATTTTAGGTTTCAATCATTTTGGAGATGTTGTGTATCTTTACTTGGATAATGCTCCTTTTTTAGCATTCAACCTAAAGACTAAATCTGCTGCTTGAGATTTTTCACTCTTACTCCACCCTCTTGGCCAACAACCTTTCTCACTGCCAAAACCTAGCTAACTTCGATTCATTCCTTTAATGTTAGTTTTATGTATTGCAAATGCTAAACTTCATCTATTCCATCTTCAAATCGTCTACTTGTAATGTTTTGCTTCAGTATTTTACATTCTTCCTTTGTTATATTTTAAGAATTTGTGAATTTTACGTCTACGGTCAACTAGGTTTGTCTACAATCCACTACGTTAACAAAATAGATCTTGATCATTGATAAGCGAGTGATTAGTATAAGCCAATTTGTTAACACCCTCGATAAGTTGATTGGATAGGATAACAACCTGACACCCTCGATAAGTTGCAACCACAAAGGCTTACAAAGTTAAGGCGCCAATCACAGAGAAGTTGCGTGCCAAACAACCTCTGGGAAAAAAACCGTAACTGAAACTTTTCAGAAGACTTACAGGTAAAATGTCGTGGGTGCTATTTTTTTTTAATATTCCTACTGCATCAAAGTATTATACGTGCTACAATCATACATTTAGGATATCATCATTCAGCAAGCAAGCAGATAAACCATAGCATATCCATCAATAATTTTGGCTAGCTAACTGTTAGTTACATGGAGCAAACCCCTTAAAAAAAACAAGATTATAACTAATGAATGTTCAATTCCTTTGGCATGTTTGCAAAGAAGAATAGTCGTCACTTAGAAGAGGCAGTGTAAGCCATGACCAACAGCATCTGATCACCATGAGGTCACACTCTTCCAAACATCACTATCATCAAAGTCATTATTGTATTGTTGAAAATAGGCTTGGTGTGCTGCAGTGAGGTGCTTAAAAGAGATTTCTTATACTGTAGGTGAAATAACAGTAACCAGCTCCAATGCCTCATGTAGTAGTCGCTCATCAGTAGAAAGGTAAGATTGAGAGAGTGTTAATGTTTCAAGCAATGGTGCACTAGTTAAAAAGGTCCTTGACCAACAGACAAAGATAGAGTGCGATCCCTTCTGTAAATACAAGGGATCAAATTTGCAACAAATTAAATAAAAAAATCCTACAAAAAAAACCACCCATTTTCTTCTTAAATTTGCTCAAAATTTAGACATTTTTTTTTGAAACAAATTTAGACTCTTTTTAGATCATCTGATTTTGTTTAAAAATATATTATTTTAATTTTTCTTACTTTTTCAGCTTTATAATAATCACAACACTTTTTTTTTCAACGTCATTTTAATAATAATTGCAATACTTTGTTATTTGGTAAGAATTCACTATTATTTTACAACTAGTTCAAAACCTGTGCTATATATGCACGGTTTTGCAATAGTATTTCATTATTTGTTTATTAGAAACTGTACTAAATAAAATCATTGTAATTAAAAGGCAAAATTAGCCCTAATAGCACCAACTATAGCTTGGGTGCAGAAAATAGTACAACCTTAATCGGATGCACTCTACATCACAAACTATTAAGTTTGGTGTAGAAAATGTCATAATTAAAAATCTTATTCTTTTTCCCGAATCTTGAACATCAAAGATTGAAGGTATTTTCTTCATTTTAATCTTTGTTTCATTTTTTTTTCACATCTTTTTCTGGTTTGTTAATTGTTAATTTGGTTTTTACTCTCGACCTCTCCATCTCAACTTTCTATTAGATTAAGAAGACATTGACTAAATAGAT